ATCGCAACCAAATGAACCGGATTATCATCATAATATATACAATACATTTTGTCCAGCCCCTGTTGGTGTGGCTTCATATTATCCTCACAGTCCGTCCCCCATCGCTTTCATGATTTGGAGCTGTTATCAGCGACGAAAAAGGCTTCTAAAGAAATCGTTCTTACGACTACGCGAGCATGAATCTCAACAGGGATCTCTTGTGGAGGTCGTTTTCTAGGAATTGTCAATGATGCAACAAAGGTAAAGATTGTTATGGCATATATTTCACGCTCAAATTAGAGAGGTTTAATAGATATTAGATATTTGAACTGGATTTGTAATAGGAGGCACGCTCCCAATACGTTTCTTATAGAAGAGAGTCAACTTTTTTAAAATTATACTATAAGCTACATAATATAGTTTTCATCTCTTATTTGCATAATTTATTTATTTTTTTTTTTTTTTTTTGCTTTCTTTACACACCTCCAAGCAACCATTCAACCACACGATCCTCATCATCATCCTCCGCTTTGGCTGCTGGCACTGTTACCCATTGCAACTGCTTCTGAAGCTTTTCTGGTGTCTCTGTTGATGTTGATGTGGATGTTGATGTGGATGTGGATGTGGATGTGGAAGTCGACACACCTTTGGTCGTCGTTGTCTTTTTCTTCCTCTTCTCCACCTTTCCAATTAGTGCATCATCCTCTCTTTGATCCTGCAAATCATCCAAGAATGCTACTGGCTCAGTCTGCACTCCACGTTCAATACCCTCCACCATTTTGGCCATGGCTGCATGGAAAATCGTATCCAGCATCCGCATCGACGCCTCAAAGTTACCAGCGGCAAACAATTTTTGACGGATCAACACCAAATCCGTTGGCGTCAAAGGAATGACCTGTGTGCTTGGAACTGGACTTGTGGGCGTTGGAGGACGGCCTGATTGAAGACTATCTTTGGAAGAACCCTTCTTGAGAGTCCTTTTATTCATACTGCTCTCAGCTGTAAAGGATGTCCCAGCTCCAGCGGTCGCACTGGTAATACCATTAATAGCAGATGCAAACGCAGTCGATGATGATGATAAAGTCGTCACTGCTCTGTTCTTCTTACGCATACCACCAGCTGAACTCATCTTTGTCTTCTTGCCATCAGCACCCATCTCGCCAGCAGCCAATCGTTCCAGACGACGAGCCTCTCGCTCCTTTGCCCGAAGTTGTTGGAGATAAATGCGACGGTCCTGACCCTCTTCATCATCATCGTCCTCCAAGTCATCCGAATCTTCACTTTCGTCTTCATCTCCCCCATTTCCCCCCTCGCCCTCAGATGTGATTGTGTGAATCATCTCGTCTACTACACTGACATAGCCATTAGCAGACGAAGAGAAAGCACTTTGTTGCTTCACATCCAAAGATCGGACCAGCTGCTCCTTGGATGGTTGCTTCTGCAAAGTAATCTTGGTCTCAGTGTTGCTATCATCGTCCGAGTCCTCATCATCATACTTGTTCGCAAGGTCAACAAGACTGACTGTCGATCCGTTTGGCAACATACTCTTGGCTGACATGAATGATTCATGCTTCTTCCGCCTATGCTCACCATCAACCGTATACCCATCATCGTCATCATCATCATCCTCATCTTCCTCTGAATCAGAGTAATGCCACTTCTCCGGAGGCTGAATTCCTTGTGCCATATCTTCATCATCATAGTCCATGTCATCGTCATCATCCTCAAGATCCTCATCATCCTCATCATTTCCTAAATCAAGGCCCATGCTCTGACGGTGACGTGCCCTTGAGAGCGCATCCATAGCCTGAGCAGCCTCATCCACAAAGATAGAATGGCGGTTGCCGGAATTGACTGCGGTGGCGGTCTTGCGAGGTACAGGCACAACAATGGGTATCTCTTCCTCTTCTTCATCCAAGGCATCCTGGCGACGAATCTGCTGCTGCTGCTGCTGCTGACGACTGGCTGTTCCATCGATAGACATATCACTGGCACGCTTCTTAATTGGTGACGTACGATCCATATCCTGTTCGATGATGGCTGTGGTAGAAGCAGCCTGGAAACGGCTTCCATTCTCTGAAGTTGGTGGGGTTGCCATCATCTTCATTTGCCGCTCTTGTTGCCGCTGTTGCTGTTGTTGTTTAGCGGCTGCGGCTGCTGCTGCTGCTGCTGCTGTCAGCGTTCTGGTGGTGGCAGAAGGCAAGCGGTCCTTCAATGTTTCCATCTCGGGTGAAGTTGCAGGTGAGACCATTCCGTCCGCACTCATCTTGCCGGCTCTCTCGCCTGCGCTTCGACTGTACTGACGACCTTCGACATCACTATCTGAATCATTCAAAGCTTCTGCCTTGTTTGCAGACTCTGATGAAGTAAGAGTGGTAGCGGTGGGGGCGGCGGCCATACGTGCTGACGCTGCTAATGATGATGATGATGTAGAGGTAGAAATAGGGCCATGAGCAGGAGTAGTAGGGTCGACATCAGAGTCTTCAAAAACCGCGACCTTTGCCTTTGCAGCCCTTACGGCTGCAATAGCTGCTGCAGCTGCTGCAGCTCCAGGAGAGGTACCAAGAGTTTGTTTTGGATGAATCTCTCCAGAATTATTGGCAGATACATTAGTGGATGAATTACGATCCTGTTGATAAAATGGATTGGCTCGGATGGTGCCCTCCAAGGAGATACGGTTGGGAATATTTTGGAGATGATCCTGTAGCTTGAATCCATGTGAAGGTGGTTGTACAGTTTTTGAAAGCCTTTCCTGAATGAATTGGACTTTACCATGTGCGATCAAGCTTGCGGTACTGGCAGAAGGACTGATACTGTTACCGCTGCCGGCAGAGACCGAGTTGGATCGAGGTGAGGGCGATACAGGGCTCAGCCCTTCGAGAGGATTGTTTCGATGAAATTGTTGGGGTGACTGAAGAGGCGAGTTTGTGATGGGGAAATTTGGACGCGGTGAAGTGGATCGAGGAGAGTTGGGCCTAGGTGAGAGCGGTCGAGGCAATCCTGCTTCTAGTCCTGCACGAGAGTCATGAAGAGTACCCACAAAACCTGTCCTGATGGGTGAAGTTACTTCCTGGTTCAATGACATGCTGCGGGACGGAATAGGAATGGCCCTGATTCCGCTGCCACTAGTCTCGGGGCTCGTAGATTGTGGGTATTGGCCCGTGGAGGTGGCAGCTGTTTGATTATTGGTAGCCCTTACCGGTACTGGGACCGCCAGGGTCTTGTTTGATACTGCTCGTTTATTGTTATTATCCGATGAATTCACAATACCTCTACCACTTGTGTTGTTGCTGCTGTTGTTATTGCTGTCAGGTGGTAATGGGAACCCTGATGATGCTGCAATATTTGAGCGCGAATCCAGTGACGTAGCTCGGTCTCGGCTAGCGGTTACCGAGAATTGCTGCTGCTGGAGTTGTTGTTGCTGTTGTTGCTGTTGTTGCTGTTGTTGCTGTTGCTGATGCAAAGTATCATATGCATTTGATCCGCCAGACTCCTGTCTCTCCGGGTGATAAGAGGTTGCCGACGCTGATACTGTTGTTACCTGAGTCGTCGACGATAAGATTGAGGTCTGACCAGAATGTCCGCTGTATACGCTTCCATGAGTTGAGTTGGATGCAGATCCAGTACCTGACGGCTGCTGTGCGATGTTGAAGCTTCGAGCAGAGGTAGGGGAGCTGGCGACATTGCTGCTGTTGCTGTCCATCGATGAGCGTTGCATAGAGTTGCGACCCAAGCGACCCATGAAGCTCTTGATAGGGTTCTTGCTACCGCTATGGCTATTGCTGCTGCTGCTGCTGCTGTGGGTAGATTCAGAGCTCGGGATCACGAGAGGCTCACTCATGGGCTGTAGATGCTCCGAATATGAGCTCTTTGGCGAGGAATTGCCTAAAAGCTGTCCCGGCTCATTGGTAGCCTGTGCAACTGTCTTCAAGGATGCATCGACATTCCTAGAGCCGCTTGATAGAATGGGGCTTCGGGATCCAATGGATGACAACGGTGTGCCCGCTGTAGACAAAGTAAATTCCGAACTAAATGTTGAAGTTGAGGCCCTCTCCATCATATCCTGCTGCTTGTTGGCACCATTTTCTGCAATACCAAGTCCCTGATAACTGGGTGATTGATCCTGAGCCTGTTGTTGCTGCAGAGATGACTCTGAGGAAGTAGCTGACAGACCCTGTTTTTTCATAGTAGATTGAGAAATACCTGATGAGTTGGTTGGAAGAGCAGGTACAGTAGGTGGAGGTGGATGACTTTGAGATTCTGATGCAAAGGGTGCTTGGTTATTCTTGCGTCCGCTTGCTGCAGGTACATTGCCACCAGTACTGTTGCTGCTGTTGTTGGCTGTTTCTCTTTGGGTGGCTTGACTAGGTTTACGGCCATGTCTGCCCTCTCTTCCATTAAGCATGGAGGTAGCTCGAGAGGACGACCGAGAAGCGACAGCTCCACCCAAAGCTCCAGTCTTGCGATGGACTTCGATTGTCCGAAGACGGTTAGGTGTGAGTGAGACTTTCATAGTTTCTCCAGAATTGAAGAGCATTTCAAAATCGTTCTTCTTCTTGAGCTTATTTTCTTCATCCTATATGGAATTCCAAGTAAAGAAACGATTTATTAGCCAATAGTCAATCGAAAAGCCACGAAATAAAATAAAAAAAAAAAATAAAAAAAAAAGTGAAACTAAACTAGTGTACTTACTGGAGTGGAATCCCAGTCTCCGAACTGAGGGCGATTAGGATCGATAATAAGATCATCATCCTCAAAATCCGTTGGCAACTGTACCTCAAGCTTTGGCTTATCAGAATTACCTAGCCTCAGTTGTTTTCCCCAGCTTCCTGAACGTTTGACTGTCGCAGGGGTTTGCTCTTCGGCTAGAATGAAAATGAGAAGTATCCATTTTAGTTCCAGGAACATAATGTATGGTGCACATGCCCATTATTCATATTCATCTTCATTTGTCATTATGATGGATGTGGTCTGCAATATAAAAATAAATGGGAGGCATGAGAGTAGTAGACATGAGGGAGTTAGATGAGGGGAAAGAGAAAGAGAGAAAAAAAAAAAAAAAAAAAAAACCTACGTCGAGAGCCTGTGCCCGGCATAATGAGAGAATTTCGGAAACGTTTCTGAAGTTGGGTTTTTAGGATCATGGTCTCGAATGTATGCTCGATCTGCCGGTCTTCCAGTAATGCAACATAGACTTCCCGAACAGTGACCATATCAGCGTGGTCCTGTCGATCAGCGATGGTAGAGGCAATCTGAAGAACATATTCGGCCACATGTTCCAGTACGGCTGTGACATAGATCGCAATCAACGTTGGTACATTAATGGCATTATTAGGGTTTCCAGCCGGTGAGCCCAATCGCTCACCGAGCTTACTATAGTATTGACATTTGGCACGGAATTGTTCAAAGACTTGCTCGACCCTTGTCTCATCTGAATCCGCATTGAATAAGGAGGAGGTACAGCTGGGCTGGCCACTGGCACCCATATGGTTCATGGTATCTTTACCCCCCATGTCAAGATAGCTTTTAGCCTCTAACTCTGCCTCGACAATAGCATTCTTGCCAAGAGATGTAGGGAATGTTTGATAGACTGCAGCTTTGATTCGACTGGTCTCAAGTCCCTTGGCGGTGTCGACTAGGATGAAGAGAAGCTCATCCAAGAATGCGTTCAAGGCCTGGAGACCGTCTGTGGAGATTACATATGGCGATGCATCCGCCAGAATTGCATTGGCGAACTTTTGTGCAATGTACCGCACCTCTGGAAGAAGCAAATAAAAAGAAGAAGCAATTACATGTTATATACATTGACACATTTACAAGTTTTAGGGTTAATGAATCCATCGATTGATTTCAATCGACGTATCAAATAAATAAATACGTTCATTAAAGAGACACAATCATATCATTGTTGTCTTACCCTTTCGCTTTTCTGACATGGTTGTGACACTTGATAAATTAACAGTTGTTTCTTTCACCCCCCCGCTCAACTGGGTGTCTTGAAAATAAAAATTAAGCTGACAATTTGATTCAATTCGAAGCTGTGGACAAAACGACCGGGGGAAGTATGCGTATGTGAGGGTGTGGAGGATAAAAAAAAAAGAGAGGCAGAATTACTTTTTTCCTTGTGTCTGATGCTAAATAACAACAGAAGAAACGTTGTACAAAATAAAATTAAAAAAGTGTTAGTGTGGATGACACAAGAAATGTACACAGCACAAGAGAACTTTCTTTTAGGATGAAGACAAAACAAAAAGACAGGAACCGAAATGAACAAATGAGCACAATGAATGGAGAAAGTATTAAAAAAAAAAGGACCGTTCACAAACTCTACTATCCTGTTGTCCTGTTGCCTTTTCCTAAAGGAACATTAAAAAAGAAAAAAGAAAAAACTCTCTCTTTTTTTTTTATTTCCTTTGTGGATGTAATGCAAAAGAAGGGAGAAGAAAAAAGACCAGGATATCCGTGTTCATGCGAACCCAATGCGATTGTACCCAAAATAATAATAAGCATTTGCAATCAGAGATAACGCCCAACCCAATGCTCGCTGCGGGTCCGTAAGGTCCACAGATACATTCGATGACAAAAAAGATATGGGAGACTCCAGACAGATGTTACTATCACAACAAGTAGATGTACAATGTGTATGTGTGTATATGCCTTCGTGCTCAAAGTTCGAAAAACATTATGCAGGATTTAACTGGGAAATAAATAGCACTGCATTAGATGTGGGGGAGATCGTTTGAAGATAAAAAAAAAAAAAAAAAAAAAAAAGTATGCAAGGTGATAATCAAAATCTGAGGAATCACGAAAAAGTGGAGAGGAGTAAAAGGAAAAGGCAGAGGAAGGACGAGGATAGAAAGAATAAGATGGAAGTAATGGCGGTGGTATGAAGAGATGGGAGAGGATAGGGTGGGTATATATTGATTCACTCACCCTTAGTGATAGTTGAAGATTGGAAAGGGATTAGCAATATTAACAATATTATTAGTAGTGGATAGTTGTAACAATAAGAAAATTAAAAAAGTAATAACAGCGAGTGGGAATATTAACAAAGGAGGAAAGGGAAGGGGAGGTGGTTAAAAATAAAGTCGTTGCGATGAGTCGAGATGAAATGCAGAATGAAAAGGTCGAGATGAATTAGAGTGATGGAGGGAGAGATGGCCGACCAGAAAGAAAAAAGGAGGGGGAGAATAAGGGGGAAGGCGCAAAGAGAGGAAAGAGAGGAAAGAGAGGAAAGAGAGAAAAGAAGAGAACTTTTTTTTTTTTTTTTTTTTTTTCACAACAAAAAACGTGGCTGTAAAACGTTTTTTTTTACCTCACAAGATTAGAGAAACAGCTGAAAGTGAAAGAGACTCATAAAGCTTTGTTTTTTGTAAAACACCTTGACCGGTTGAAGACCTTGAAACCTTTCTTTGAGAGCCGCCTTTTCTTTTTATTCCCCAATAGGAATGACCGACGGAAAATAACGACCTGTATACACTCATGTACATCCACACATGCAAATGTACACGATTTGTTTATGACAAACATATTTGTATACAAACAGAAACGACATGAATGCCATGAATAAAAAAATAAAATAAAAAAATGTTTGTCAACCATGAACAAACCTGAAGCTCTTTTGTGGAGATGTAGTGTAAAATACCTGTTACACAGTAAAGCAGTTAAACAGTCATTTAAGCAGAGGAGCCATATAAAAAAATAAAAAATAAAAACTGAGAGCACTGTTTGCTTTGCTACTGCGATTATTTACACTCTGTTTAGACTATATACAATAGGTCCAATTAAACACAAGCAATTATTGTGGATCTATAGGTTAAAATGATAGCTCTGCTCTCTCCTTTTGCTCACGTCTCTCTCTCTCTCTCTCTCTCTCTCTCTTTCTTACCTACAGTATATACATTCCTGCTCAGACCTTTCTGTCTGTCCCTTGCCTCTTGACCGCCTCATCCTGCCTGCCTGCTTGTTGTTTGCTTGTGTATTTTTGTATTTTTATGACTTGCAACTTGTTTGTTGATGTGTTTATAGCTCTATTATATATAACTGCAATTCAGTATTTATATATATTTATATTTTATAATCCAATGCAACACAATGCAATATATATATTCTATACAATGTTACCCATTCACCTCATCTGCATTTGTTATTTTGTCATTCACCACTGCAACTCTGTTTGTATACATTTATATTAGCTTAATGCCATTGTAAGGATATATATATATATATATATATATATAATATACTGTACCAAGGCGTTTGTGTGCACCTTCTTCGCACATTGACAAACGCAAGGACGCACGCACTCATGTACCTACACATCATTATACACATCATTTACATCGATTAGCATCTGCTCTTGTCGCCTACGATCAGGAATAACGGATCACTATGAACTATTGCCTGCTATTACCACGATTATCTACGAGCAACTTGTTCACTACTACACCATCGATACCTCCCCTGGCCTAACTTTTGCGTTTCAGGAATATTTCAAACAAGGGAAACAAGGGCGAAATCATAGTATAATCAATCGGATTGTTAAAAATGAATTTTGTTGGTGTTGTTTGTGTCCGTGTGTATAGTCTGCGCATTTAGAATGAGTAATTTTCCATGTCCATAGTGTGGTCCATGTGTCCATGTTATTTATTGCTCAGCCAATCATCTTTTTTATTTGCTTACCTGAACTTCCCCCCCCCTCTTTTCCCTTTTTTTTTTTTTTTTTTACTTTCTTTCTTTTCTTTCTGCAATTTTTTTTTGTACATGCAATGGAGGAGGTTTTTGTTGTTGTTCTGTCCTATCAACAGATCCAAGATTGAATAAGGGGGCCAGGAGAAGCAGTCTACAGAATTATGACCGTTTGCTTAATGATAAACCACAACGCGTATAACCCTGAAACTGAACCATTTTTTTTACCTCCTTCCTCCTCCTCCTTCAAATTAAAAAAGCAAATACCCGGTCCGCAATGCTTTTTTACCTTTCTTAAGAGAGTTTGAAAGATTTGTTCAGATCATATTTATATACAACCTTTATGCCCTATATCTATACATGTAACCATCTGTCAGGGATTGGTTGTACATTAAAAAAAAAAAAAAAAAAAAAAGTCTAAAAAAGAGAGTATGTCGGAGAAGGAAAGCGATCGCCAAATCTCTCAATCTCTTTTCTATTCCTGTCCAAATTTACGAGCAAAGTCAACGGTTTTCTTTTTTTTTTTTTTTTTTTTTTTTTGGTAAAAAAACAATAAAAAACAAAAGGGCTCTCAACAGACTTTATAATAGCAATTTTAGCTTTTCTTTTGTCGTTTGTCAAAAGATGTTGTCTCTTGATGGCGTTGCGTTCTCTCTTTTTCTTTTTTTTTTTTTTTTTTTTTTTTTGGATTTTGCTTACATATATACTTCGAGTCTTCCCGAGCTTTTTTTAAGCTTGAAAAAAAAAAAAAAAAAAAAAAAAAAAAAAAAAAAAGAGCAAAGAGGAGTGAAGAGAAAGAAGTAGACCAAACTATGCTACATGTCCATAACACGACACTATACTATACCACATAATATCGAACATAAAAAAACGAAGCTCTCAATGATTACAATGATGAATCATGATGCGACAGCGAGAGAAAAAAAAAATATAAAATATAAAAGAATAAAGGCCTTGGCTCACTTCTTCCTTCCTTCTCCCTTTCTCTCCCTCCTTTTTCCTAAAAGTCCATTCTACATTCAATAGGGCTTGGGCTTTTTTTTTTTTTTTTTTTTTCCTTCTTTTTTAGCTAACCTCACTCCATCTCCTTTTTGTCAGTGAAATAATGAACTAATAACCCAAAGACGGGATAAACGGGATATATACAAAAGATCATGGCTCTCTCTTTCTGTCTGTCTTTTGTAATAATGGTTGTACAAGACCTGCCAAACGCGTAAAAAATTATGCACCTTCCAATAAGCTTTCTTCACATAAAATTATTTTCCTAAAGCTGTGCCTTCCTTCCCTTCGGACCCACAAATAAAAACATTTACTCAACCCTTGAAATACTCAGTATCTGACCCAAAAGAGATACATTGCAATTTCATTTAGACAAATTTATCCAACTGTGGTCGCAACAAATATCAAAAATTAAGAAAGGATATTGTCATTTGTTTATTTGAATAATAATGGTACAAAGAGAAGAAAAAAAAAATTGTACAATAAAAAAGAGGAATCAAAATGATGGGAATAATAAAACAATGCGAGAAAAGAACCAAAAAATAAAAATAAAAAAGAGCTCGACAAATACAAAAAAAAACATCGAATCAAAATAAAATCTAAAAAAAAAAAAATTAATAAATAAATAAAACAATGAAACAGATGCAAAAGCTACAGCTACAACGAGAAAATGTATAATTGTTTGTTCTCTGGGGAATATGGTTACTTTTTTTTTTTTCTTTTTCCTTGATAAACGTCAACGGGATTCCCATCAATCAGTAGACGAAGAAAGAAACAATGAGGGGGCTTTCTTTCCTAGATATGTCATCGTTCTTGTCTGTGCAGCCTGCCGTCCCACTTTTTTTTTTTTTTTTTTTTTTTTTTTTTTTAGATACCCTCAAAATCCATGATTGTTTTTGTTGATACATTGTAATTTGGATATACTGGAAGTATTGTCGCATACTCTTTTTTTTTTTTTTTTTTTTTTTCTGTATGTGTATGTGTGTGCTTAATGAGCCATGATGGGAATCTTGGCGGAGGTTGGCGTAGGAGTAGTGCTAGGGGTAATAATCTGGGTCTTAGTCAGAGGACTAGTGATAGGGATAGCATGCGAGATCCTAGCAGGACGGAAGTTGGGAGTAGGAGGGGAAGGAGGAGGCGAGATTCGGACAGCACGCGAAGGCACGGGCTTTGGTTGGAATGGCTTCATAGTAGTGGCCGAAGTATCAGGCTTCATTGAGACTTTGGAACGGGTGGCGTCGTAGATAGTGTTGATGTTACCATGATCGCCAACACGGAACGAGACAGAGAAAGGTTCCACCCAGAGAACTAAATCACGAGGAATGTGACCAGCCAGGGTCTCCAGAGGCAAATCACTTTTTTTGGCAGCCTATAAATGGGGAAAGCGGAGCCAGAATAAATAAAAGCCAGATTAACCAAAAATGTCAAATGAGATAAGAGTTTTTGGTGCTCGTCATAAAACATTAAAACATTGGGTTGATGTTTTCGAGACTAATGTTCACATTCATAATTAATTACTAGTAAAATTACATTCCCATTCACTTTTTTTTTTTTTTTTCTTTTTTTTTTTTTTCTTCTCTTTTCAATGACCAAGTTAAAAGACCAGTAGAGTGGTTCTCAGTAAACATGGATTGTGTATGTGGATTTGTTAAAGTTGTGGGAAAAGGGGAGTGAGGGGCAAAGACCATCTCTATTTAATGTCTTCTACCTCATTCTTATTCTTATGAAAACACATAGTCTGTGCAAATGTTTTTTTTTTTTTATTTTTATTTTTTATTATCTTACCTCACACAAGAGAGGATCAACTTTTCCACCAAAGGAAGTGATGGCTCTGTAACCATTGCCATAGTGAGGTCTCTGTGGGTCCCAATGATTGGTATACTTTTCTTGCATAAGGACGATGATCTGCTTCTTGAATGCCTCAATTATCTGAGGCGTGCAAGAAGAGGAACTGGCCACGTAGCGGCAAAGAAAGTCGGAGGCAAAAGAGATCTCAAGGAGCATTGTTTATATTAAAAAAAAAAAAAAAAAAAAAAAAAGGGGGGGGGGAAGGGAATCCAGTGATGGAATTATATGAATGCGTGGGTGCGTTGTGTAAAAAGAAAGTATTTGTGTGGAGTGAAAGAGTGAATGGTTTGAAGAAGGTCTATGGTATAGAGGGTTATGGTAGGCAAAAGTGGTTGGGCACTGAAAAGTGGGTGTGTTGTGTTTGTGATGATTGACAAAAAAGAAAAAGAAAAAAAGAAGTGGTGGTGGGGGATAAATAATTCAAACACTCAATTTTTAAACTTTTTTTGAAATCACAAGGCTCATCAATGATTGGTCTATACGTACAAACAGAACCAGGTCACGTACACAGGTTAGGTGCCGCACGGTCTCTCTTTTTGTTTTTTACCCTTTTTACCCGCAAACAATGTAAAAGATAAACATGTACATGTACATGTATTTGTGCATGGCCCAAAAAAAAAAAAAAAAAAAAAAAAAAAAAAAACAAAGGAGAGAGGATTCAGCAACAACAATGAAAGTATATATTTATTATAGTTGGAAAAAGATGTGGTACGCGGGAGAATCATGCAGCTCATCTCTCTTTTTATTATTATCGTCGTAATAAACATTTGCAGACCTGACTCTTTAGTTAGTTGAATCGGATGAACAATCCAGATATCCTTCATCCTTCCTTTCTTCCCTCCCTTCCTCCTTAATCTTTCCTTTCTCTCTTTCTTTTCCTGGTTTGCATTACCATGTCGAGTCAATACACCATTGGGGATCAGCCTTTTTTTTTTTTTTTTTTTTTTTTTTTTGGACAAACAAAAACAGACATGTATATGTCTAATCGATCGGCTTAATAAAATGTGTTGGATGGTGGTAACATAATACAAATAAAGACAAACAATTCATCCAAAATATATATTGTGTCAGCCCCTTCCTCTCATTTGAACAAGTGAAAAAATGTCCTAAATTATCGCAAGCGCGTCATAGGAATTGGAGAAAGGCAATTAACCAAAATAGCTTTTTTTTTTTTTTTTTTTTTTTTGCATTATGGATCGAACGATCCATTATTGGACTAAAAGTGAAAAAAAGCTTTTTGAAGTGACATTATGCATCCTCATTATTGGTTGGTACATAAAGAACCTAATATAAAAATATTTTAAACTTATTAACGTGAGATTTATATATATAAACATTCATTCAGCATTATTTTATCCTCATAGATGTTATTGGATCGCCTTCAAACATTCTTACTTTTTTTTTTTTTTTTTTTTTTTTTTTTTTACCTCTGGTCCTTTAACTTGTTATTAACTATTGCTCAATGTTTTAGCAATGTTCAAACACATCATTTCAACGTGTCTCATTTTCACTAGTCAACAAACAGTACACTTTTTCCATATTTGACGTCTATGTAAATACACATCCATCATTTGCACATGAATCGTTAAGGTATAAATCTATCATGTTAATACATATATATATATACTTTTCGATCTCACGTGAAGTGTCACATTGACCCTTGAGGGTTGATGATCAGGTCTGGGACACTCTGGACGATCGTCTACGAACGAATAGAACACACAAACGTATAGCCCATGTTATACATGAAAATGTACAATCAAATGACAGGAATCATGACTGTTGCCTTTTTTTTAAAAAAAGATGCTCAAGTTGCATACCATGAATGATAGGCATGCATAGTGTTATATATATATTATATATTACATATAATATATCTCTAAGCACAAATAAGAATATACAATATGCACGTAAAAAAAAAAAAAAAAAAAAAAAAAAAAACAGGGTACCTTGCAGTATCCATGACCTACTGGAGCTGGAGCCAGAAAAAAAATAAAAAATAAAATAAAAAATAAACTAGAAAGGTTGTTCGTTCAACATGGAGGAATAACATAAAAAAAAGTGCGTAGCAAGAGCCCATGGCTTGACAGACTGACAGGTTCAAGAACTTGACTTCTTCCCTCAACCTTTTTTTACAAGTTTTCTCTATTCACCCTCAGCTGACAGAGTGCTGCTAATGCTCACCTTATTAATAAAATTTGTACGCCACCAATTTTTTTTACCCCAGAAAAAAAAAAAAAAAAAAAAAACTTAGGCTGCACGTGGCCACCATGCTATGCTTGGCATGAAAAAAAAAAAAAAAAAAAAAAAAAAAAAAAATACACCAATGTTCAAGTTTAAATGTGACACCGATTCATGAGACAAGCCGGTCTTCTTTTTAACTTTTTTAACCAACTTTACCAGAGCTTAATACTGGGAAAAGGAAGAAGCAGGAAGGAAATGGAGAAAGAGAGAGGGAGAAAGAAAGGATGATGACGGACAGCATAGTATCCCCCACTTGTTTCCGTATCGCATGCGCCCTTTACTTTTCTCTCTTTTTTTTTTTTTTTTTTTTTTTTATTTCAGTAAAGGCTGTAATGGGGTGCCTTTTAAAAAAAATAACACGGGCCAAGTTGCTTAAAAGGGAATTGATTCTTCCTCCTCCCTGCCTCCTTTTTAACCTCCCCTTCGTGTGTTGTTGGACAGAGTTTTTTACCGCTTTCCCTTACACAAACATTTGTATTCATCAGCTGGAAAGGAGAAGCATCGATCTTACTTTTTTTGACCTTCAATTTCTTCTCTCCTTAGTTGACCGACGGAACTAGGACACTAAAATACTGATAATGGTGATCATGTATGATTATTGTTATTGTTGGCAGATTTAACATTTTTGCCTGTGTTCGTGCACTGTTGTCATGCCTTGTCTCGTGTTTGTGCTTTCCCACTGTTGGGGTTGAATAAATGATTGGAAGAAGAGGGAAAGGAGCCGAAACAAGGAATGAATAAAGAAGAAAGAGGAAATTTTGAAGCGTGTGAAGAGAAGTCCTCTTCATCCTCCTTCTCCATCTTAAATACTTCGCCTGTTACCTTGTTTCCTCTGTTCTTTTTGTATCTCTTCCCTTGTTCTGTCACTCCGAATCTTTTTTTCTTTCTTCCTCCCTTCATTTTACTTCTTAGATTCATCGATTCTTATTCATTCTTCATTCTTCATTCTTCATTCTTTCATTCATTAATTCATTCCTCCTGTACAGCCCATACTTGAACAAAATACTTGTGTCCACCCACCTTTGATATCACTGATCACTTCTCACTTAATAACTATTCACCCATTACTGCCACCTCATTGTGTCCAGCACAGCCACACTCCAGATACACGCACAAAGAAAAGGACAGGAAGGATGAAGCACACTGCGCCACTCAGAATACTTATCGCAGGCGCGGACGTCTCTACATTAACTTTTGCCTTACTCTTGGAGCAAGCAGGCATCGACTATCTCCTTCTCGAACCCAATGACTCTGTCCCCGTCTCTGCTGGCGGCATCACCCTTCATCCAACAGTCCTCCCTCTTCTGGAACAACTTTCACTCAGAGATGACCTACTCTTCTTTTCTCAACCGATGGAGCAAGTCCTTGTTATGGATTCGGATATGGAATGTATTACTTCGTACGACTGGAGTGACCGACAGAAACGGTAATGATCGTGTCGTGCACAATGTACAAAAACAACAACCGTTACACATTTTGTGATCATTGTTTAGGTTACGGAAGAAGGGGAAGGAAATCAAAAGAAATTGAGGAATTAACGATCTCTACCTCTTTTTTTTTTTTTTTTTTTTTTTTTTTCCTTTTTCTTTATTTCCTTACAAATGATACAGATATGGAGCATGGAGCCGATTCATGTCACGACCTGAATATTGTAATATGATTCTCGAGAAATTACCAGAGTCCAAAGTCTTATTCAATACCATCATCACCTCTATCACAACTGTAGAACGTGAAGATGAGGATGATGAAGATGATGGTTTGTTTAACGATGATGATGGCACGGGTACAATCAATAGTGCTCGACAAGATAGCATCCTTGATACTGATTCTCATTTCAAGGACGAGAAAGGCGAAGCAAGTATACGTGGCGTGACGGTCGAATGCGCAGATGGGTCTGTCTATAGGGGTCACTTACTGGTTGGTGATATCAATAGCGAAGTAGAACGTAAACTGGTTTATAATAGCGATAGTCTCCATCGACAACAATCACAATCACAACAACAATATAGAGGAACAGAGGATGAAGATCGACTCACTGCTACTCGGGGAGGAGGAGACATGCCTGTGCGCGAAACGCAGTATCATGTGTCAGGAATTACCGAGGCCCTTGACCCGCAGCGTATTCCACTCTTAAAAGATGACACCACCCAACTAAGACTTGTGGTCGATTGCAAGAGCACACTCTCGGTAGGTGAACCACCACAATGAAAAAAAAAGCTTCCATTTGCATGAATTTTCTTTTTTTTTTTTCCCCCCCTTTGTAAAATTCTGACATGTTCCATAAATTTTCCGAACAAAAAAAACCCTACGCCACATTTAGTGGTGGGCTGCAACTCTAGCAGACAACAGGATCGCATGGCAGGTCACAAAGCGGGTTTTGCTCTCTGAAAAATCGACACGCCCTTCCGAGTTTGGGTCTCTGCATCATGAGCAAGCTGCAGCTGCATCTGTCATCAATCAAATCTCTCAAAACATGATGTGTCCGTTGGGAGGGACCATGATCCAGCTATTGGATTGGACACCTCAATCCCAGATCTCTTTCGGGCGGTGGGATGATCGACGTGCACCTATCAATACAAACTCTTCACGTGTATTGCTCCTGGGAGAAGGTAAAGAAGCAAATGCAAAAAACAATTTGGCATGAATTCTTGTTTTACCTAACAATTTCTGCATGGAAAAAGAAAAATCGTAGAAAACTTCTCTAATTTTTTTTTTTATACTCATTTAATCTGCTCCTTTTCTCAATACAGCATGTCGCAAGGTACAAAATGATATTGGTTTTGAAGGTAGAATTGATTTATCAATCATATTAACTAATCTTTTTTTTTTTTTGTATTTTTTTTTATTTTTTTTATACCAATTAAGATGGTCCCAATTCTCGGCCAACCTGTAGAAGAAAGCATCCTAGATGCATTAGCACTAGCAGAAGTTTTGTATGCTCTCCCGTCTACACGATTGAGTGATATTCAAATGGCCATTGATTGGTATCACAAGGAGCGGACAATACGAAGAGAAGCTGCTATTGATGAATCGCGCGACATGGATCTGACGTTCAATACCAAAGTAAAGACAACGAACCTTCCTCTTATCACTGATTGGGATTAGATTTCTCGTATTTATCTTTAGATGATTACGTTTTCATCTGACAACGATTGTTTTTTTACCATCTATGCGATTTTTTTTTTATTTTTATTTTTTTTTTTTTTTTTACCTTCCCAGGGGCCACTACGGAAATTTTACCGATCATTCATACTGAATTATTTGCCCAAATGTATTCAGGATCGAAAGAACGATGAAAAATATTCATACCGCCCACAGGCCAATTTTCTGGACCCTGTGCCTGATTATGGTTTTGTAAAACCTAATACAAGTTCATACTCAAGGCGATACAGCATAGCGGTACGAGAAAAATACTAAATAAGCACAAGCCAACAAGAAGAACAACAATACCAAAAAAAAAAAAAAAAAAAAAAAAAAAATCATGCATTTTCAATGATTGCAAAGATAATTGTTTTTTTTTTATTACTATTATTATTTCAACACTCAAAACACGTAAAAAAAAAAAAATACCATAATTATAGCATTCACATAATTCATACCAGGGGTGCATCACTTCACCTCATACGTCGTCTTAGAACAATAAAGTAAAAAAAAATAAGCTGATCAAAAACTTTTTTGTACAGTCTTCCTCCAACAACGTATCGAAAATCGATACGCTAGCAGATTTTTGTTTCCATTCATTTTTATTCAATAAATATATCAAACTTTATTTCACACATCCCGATTCACTTCGTGTCATTCAATAAATCGCAATATTCATTAAATATTCCCAGCTGTCTCTGTACAGCAACCCAACGTTTCAACAGAAGGGGATCGTCAATTTGTTTTAGGGTACTCATGAACCGCAGGTAGTTTTCCTTCGACTCCTCTTGATAATCGTGGATCGTCGGACTGGAAGGAAGGAGATTCGGACCCACCAGATCTATCTGATAACCCTTGGGTATTCGAGTCAGGAAGACTGGGGCTGTAGCCAATATCATATTCATCATCGTCTACTCCATCGCCCTCATAAACGATATCACCTTCATTGCAAGGAATGAAGCGATGCTTGTGCTTCTCGGAAGTGAATACCGTCATAACAGCATCGAGTATCGACTCTGTGGGCCCTTCACAGTAGTCTGTAGTGAGATAGTTGAGGATCACCTCTTCTTCCTCTCCGCCATATTCTTCAATAAGTTTTTCTTGAAGCTGAAAGATCTGGTCTTCTCTTGACTCTATTCCAAGATAGCGCAAGCGACTCCTTTGTTCGAAGGTCAAGATGGGGACCTCAGCAAAGCAGCTGCGGATGCAGGATGGGGTTACTGACCTCCAAACTTTAGCGAGACACTTCCAAAGCTCCGCATTGGGCGATAAGGCAGTAGCTGATTTTCTCCTTGTCCTTGCACGCGCCACGGCTTCAAGCATGACATTGCCTTGAACGATCTTATGACGCCTGCATCCAAAGGCTGTGTCATTGACGTCGTGTTTGGAGGAAATCAAATGATCTCGATATTCTTCAGTTCAAGAGCCTCGTAATCCCTATTACGTACCGCCGAGCCTTGGGAGTGCACCTCAGGGGCACTTCCGTTTTTATTCATAAGGCCAGAGTATTGTGTGATGGTCATGGCGGGTCCTTAATAAATGGCCCCCCGCCTGGCAACAATAATAAAAACAACTTTGATCTCCTTGACTTTCAAAACGTAGAAAACGTCTCAATCCCTATGTGCTACAGAATGTCGAGCAATATGATCTGCAAGCAGAACTCAAGAGGAGACCTACAACGTCTGGGATGTGCACACTTTCGATTGTGTGGTGAAAACAAGAGAGTTAAAGAGACGAATAGTGTTTGTGTATTTAAATAATACATGTTACGTCACACTTGGGGGCCAATTCAATCTTTAATCGCATGGCGTCTTGTGCAACAAGAAAAAAAAATTTCTCACAGACACACACAGCATAGCCCAACCTTGAAATAAAGGAACAGATTTATCAATTGTCGCTCCTTTCTTTAACTTGCTTCACTTCATTTTTGCACTCTCCTCTTCCTTTTCTTCCTTTATCCTCTTTTCACTTTTTTCTTATTTCCCCCCAGTTTTGCTCCCATCAATTTTGCTCTTTTATTTATTCCAAGCCTTCATTCATTGCCTTTCCTTTCCTTTCCTTTCCTTTCCTTTCCTTTCCTTTCCTTTTTTTTTTCTTTTTTTCTTTTCCTCCTTCAACTTCATCTCTAGACAATTTTGAACCATCCTGCTACTGAATTATCATCCTTTAGCATTTTTATCAACCTTTCCCTATTTCTGTCCTCTGTCTATTTACGCCCTTGTTTTTAAACAGGTTTGAAAACACAATGGGAAGCAGCAGAACACCATCACGATGCCCATCACCTCGAACTGAACCGTATGAAAAGAAAGAAAGAAAAGGGGAAGCGAAGGAAGAGTCTTCAAGCACCAATGACCCTAAAATCCTCGAGCCAACCGAGCTAAAGATTTTTTGTATTGTTGATGGAGAAGCAACATCTTTTCCTGTAAATATCCCTTCTGATCGTTCAGTCGGCGAACTCAAGCAAGCCATCTATTCGCCTGCCAGGTTTGGTGATATCCCACCAGAGAAGCTAACTCTCTACAGGGTCTCTATTCCTGACGAAGACAAGACCGTCGTTGAGTCAGAAATTGTGTCGAAAGAGGCTCTCGTACCCGCATCAATGGAGCTTTGGGAGATATTTAATTCTGAACTTCCAAGGAAAACGATCCATGTTTTTGTCAAGCCACCGCAGCGAGGTATGTATTAGCTCTTGATGGACTGATTGTTGATATTTTCAGCTGATGAAGCTTGGTTTATATCTTAAACGGCCATGTGCATAATATCACCATTTGGTTTGTGTCTTGATAACTCAACGTTCTTTCTAATTATTCGCCTTTGATACTTAGCTCAGAAAAGAAAACAAGATGGAGATGCTGGTGAGTGCTTTTGGCTGAGAACCTGGTTATTGATCAATTCAGAGTGATGTGCAGTACAATAAATCAAAAATATTGACTTTGATCACTCTATCTCCTTTATCAGAGTCACCCTCTAAAAAAGCTCGTCCAAGTATAAGTAGCAGAGGTACTCTTAGGGATGCGATTACAGAAGCGGGGCTTGTAACGAAAGGGATAGTGAATGGTAGGCCTGTCCTCTCGCCTCTCAACTCGAAAGAGAGGGTCAAGCTGCTTTCGTACATGGGGGAGGAGTTTTCAGGAGATAGTATTTACTACAGCATTGTTAGCGTGGCTTGCGAGCTCCGAAATTCTGGTGGTATCAAGGGTTCCAAAATATTGACTGCCCCTGAGGGTCGTGTCTTCCCTGTTGTCGGAACAAGGCATCTTTATATCAGAGAAGAATATAAAAAGCTTTATGACCATATTACAACCTTAATCAAGACTCCTCGTACAAGATGGCGCAAGAACCGATACTTTGTCACTGGAACGCCTGGAATTGGGAAGTCAGCCTTTTTGGTCTACTTTGCCGTCCGCCTCCTTGCAGAGCATGACGAAGAGAATCCACCGATTATTGTTTTCCATGAAAAGAAGAATACCGAATGTTATGCCTACGGAGGAACAACTTGCCAACGTTATGGGGAGAGAGTAGATTTCAAACATTTTCTTGAGCAACCTGAAACGTGGTATTTAGTTGACAGTGGTAACCATCCTCAACCAGATCAAGCCAGGACGATATTTGCGGCATCACCAAAAACTCTCAATGAGCAGTACGCTGAACTCAGCAAGGAAACTACACCAATTAGCTACTATCACATGTCACTCTGGAGTTTGGACGAGCTTAAGGAATGTAGAGCCAATGTAGAGGATTATCATCCAATGGATGAAGAATTTTTGGAGGAGCTTTTTTACAAGTTGGGGGGAGTGCCAAGACAGGTTCTACAGTGTCCAGTCGATGTACTATCTGAAAAGCAAAAAGATATTAACCGCGCTAAAGACGCTGCGTTTTCCCGCGTCAATGCTGCCATTAACGCAGTCAGGAACCCAGCAGATCTTGTAGCGCTCTTTGCACGAGGAAAAGAAGCGAGTGAATTTAGTGGTCGTTTACTCCATAGAGTTCCCACTTCTGACCACCTCGGCTTCCACCTGGTATGGGCATCTCGTTGGGTCGAATCACGGATTATCGAGGAAATGAAAGATGACACTTGGCGCGATGTGTTGGCGAAACTTGTCAAACGCGGAGAGGATATAGATAAAGGCCCACTGTTTGAAGTCTATGCTCATCACTTATTTCGACGTGGTGATATTAGATTTCCCTTTAGGGATCTTCAGTCAGGCGAAACAGGATTTCTTGATTTTCCAGCAAACCCAGAAGTGGTGCATATCCGGATTTCAAATGAATTATCAGGGCTCACTCAAGCAGCTGACAAGTTGTTTGTACCATCTATAACCACCTTTCCGTGCATTGATTTTGCATTGGGGCCCAACAAGCTATTTCAGGTCACAGTATCAGAGAAGCATCCGATCAAGCAAGCACCATTCAAGGAGATAATTGAATATATTACTGGACCCTGCTTGAAGGGAGACCAATCAAAGTCGAAGGGAAGTGACGATACCATTTTCCTCTATTTTGCGGTGCCAGGAAACATATATGATAATTTTAAAGTTCAGAACTTTCTTACCTCCAAAGATACGGTCGTCAAGAATCCATATGTATGCTTAAAACATGTAAGACAGCGTGTCATAAAAATCGACATCGAAGCTGCATATTCAGGAGGAGCAGCCGGTACGAATCTGAAGAATTAAATCGAATACCAATCAAGTGGATGAAATTTTGTCTTTTTTAAAAAAAGCATTATACCCGTTCCTTGAGAATTTTTTACAATGGTTCATTCTTTATGAATGAAGCCATCATTATCCACTTACCTTTTAGACGAATAGATAGAGCGGTTTAATCCGTCCTCCCTTCTACTGGGGCATATAGAACTTTATAAAGCTGTGATCATTATGCGATCTTGTGTGCAAGAAAGGGCAGGATTTTGTGATACTATTATCAAAGAGTTTTGTAAAAACGGATAGAGATGAAGAATCCTGTGGAGAACCCAGTGAGAGTCTGATGATGAGACCCAAAACCATATTATTATCACCAGGACAGCTGGCATAGGAAATTATCCTTTCTCATATGCTTTGTCATCTGGATGCTTGCCACTTGCGAAAGACCTATCAATTATCATCATCCAGGGCGCCAAAACGTTTACCGGGAGCTAGGATGACAGCTCCACTCTAAAGACATAAATGTCGTTTTAGCCCCATGGTGCGTGCACGGGATGGCAACCTGTGACCAATGAGATCATATTAGTTGTATGTTCGGCCAATTCAGTGTCAGTATGTGAAGACGGTGCGTCTTGAATCTCTAGGCGTCCAGGGACATGGAATAAAAAAACATCAAGAATGTGGCCAAGGCTGCCACGCGATTGACCAAATATCGCACGAGTGTCTTGAAGTATGTCCGGACTTTTGCTTGATTATCCCATCTAGGAAACGATACTGCACTCTTGAACCTCAAGTCATCGAGAACTTCTCGATATTCCTTGAAGCTTTGCCAGTTCTCTTAACCCAAGCAGGATCATAAATACAAAAGCCTATCCCGCAAGGAACTATGCAAATTCGTGGTAAATCCTCTGATAAGCCCTCCAATCCATGAAAGAATGCTGATAATATTGGTCGCTTAGTGTCGTTGTTGTTAATACACTGGTATTTAGCCTCCCCTCCCCATATCCTGCGCCTCGTTCAAAACAACCAAAAACATAGAGTTGCTTTGATGCCGCTCCGAAAGGACTCTGATTAGATTGTCGAACCAATCTTGCAGGAGCTTGTCAAGGCAATTAAAGCCAACTCCACCAAGTAATTCTGCTACTTTTGTGAAGAGTGCTAGGAATAAATCTGTCCTGGATGGAACCGAGCTTCCTCAATGAACTTCTCCAAGGACCTGTGGACACACTTGCAATAGCATCCATTGGCTAGGCGTCATTCTACCTTCGGACAAGTAAAAAGGGTAAATTGATGAGCATCAAATATAAAACATAAAGGCACTTTTGCTTACGTTCTTCAAGGGGTATACGAAAACCAAACTGCGATTAACCGCCTATGAACGCAAGACACAGAACATTTGGTGAGATTATAAACAAGCGTGGATATCCCAGACATCAAGGACCTTTTCCTCCTTATCTCCCATCCGTCTAGCATGGCTCCCAAGGTAATTAATGTGAGAGGGAATGATTCTGGCGAGATTGATGCCCTCAACAGCATGTAGCATTAATATATCGAGAACTATGAATATACTGACGACACAATCCAATATTGTATCACATTTTACCGGTCAAGCGCGTGGCAGCCTTGGCCACATTCTTGATGTTTTTTTATTCCATGTCCCTGGACGCCTAGAGATTCAAGGCGCACCGTCTTCACATACTGACACTGAATTGGCCGAACATACAACTAATATGATCTCATTGATCACAGGTTGCCATTCCGTGTACGCACCATGGGGCTAAAACGACATTTATGTCTTTAGAGCGGAGCTGTCATCCTAGCTCCTGGTTAAACGTTCTGGCGCCTTGGATGATGATAATTGATGGGTCTTCCGCAAGTGG